TCTTTAGGAACTGATTCCACAGGTGGGGTGCCACATCTGAGAAGGCCCTTCCTTCCTCTACTAGCCACCATCCTTGCTTCCTTTAGAGGGGGCTCTCTGAGAAGGATCTCCGAGCTCAGGTAGTCACATACGAAAGGAGAAATTATTTCAGATAACTTGGCCCCAACCTATTTAGAGCTTTACATGTTAATGTTAGCTCTTTGAATCAGGTCTGGAGTTCAATCAGTAAGCAGGCTAATTGACAGAGGACTGGCGTGATGTATTTGTGTCAGCCAGTCCCAGTTAGCAGCCTCACTGCTTTATTTTGAACCAACTGAAGTCTCTGGAATGATTTTGAAGGCAGCCCCATGCGGAGCACATTACAATAGTACAAGGTTACCGAAACGTGAATCACTGTTGCTAGGTTCTGCCTGTCGAGATAGGGATGTAGTCTAAACTGATGCGAAAGGTGTTCCTAGCCATAGAGTCCACTTATTTATTATTAACATTTATATGCTCAAAGTAGACCAGCAAGGCTCTTAAGCAGCTCATGACTAGAGATCGTTCAGAATCTAAGAGCACTCCCAAACTATAAACCCTGTCTCTAGGGGGAGTGCAACCCCATCCAAGACAGGTTGAATAATTACAACAGGGCAGATGACTCTCCCACTAACAGCACCTCCACGTTGTCTGAATTGAGCCCTCACCCAGTTTATTGGCCCTCACCCAGTCTATTACCAGGCCCAGGCACTGATTCAGAACAGCCACTGCCTCAACTGAGTTAGATGAAAAAGAGAGGTACAGCTGGGTAACACCCATTTTCCCCACTTCAAAAATATCCTAGGAACATTTTAAAAATAGAAGCAAGATTGGAGGATCCACTTCTAGACAATTTTAGATAAAGAATCACGAGCTCATAATAAATGCTTTGTACTGAAAAGTTCTTCACTTCACATCACATCATCCTGAAAATACTTTCCTTTCTGCAGTAAGTTCTATGCCTTTAATGAGACCAAGCAATGCAGGCTGCAGGATCAGGGGAGCCCTTGGGCACAGCACCCTTAGTGGCCTCACCTAATCTGGAATAGCCAAGATATGCTTATGAGATTTCTCCAAGGTTGCTTCTGATCTTGTTGGATATTTGTGGAAACTGACCATCAGAGAGCACTGGTAGGGCAGAGGTCCCTGCATTGGTCTTGGAGTCTGGAAAAGGCCTACCCTTGCTAGCCTCTGGGGCTGACTAATGCAAAGACAAATGCAAAAACATGTAGGCAATTCCTGCTGAAATCATATAAACTCAGCAATATTTCCAGTTCTCCATAGACAGGGATTCTATACCCAGACTATCTCTTTGCTCCTCACACAATTAAGAATAATCCTATCAATTGTTTTTCTCAAAATAACTAAAAATAGAACCTCCAAGTTTCAATGCAAGAAACCAGCATCTTCTGGGTGGTGGGGATGACTCTCTTTATTATGCCCTGGAGACATCTGTTTGGTGGTTATCAGCATTTGTGGACCTGATGGCCCTTTGGCCTGATCCAGCAGACCTGTGCAGGTGCATTTGAGGATACTGTAATATTTAGTGGTGCTCTTTTCTGGGCAGCATTAAAACAAAGTCACACCTTGGTCTTCCCAGTCTTAATTTAAGAAGCAGCACCTGTCAAAAATTTAAAACATCAATGTGCTTCACAACTGGTTAATAAATGACATGTAAAGATGAGGTAGAACCAGGCTACTATTCAGTGTAACCAGTGACCAAATGGAATGATTGGCCACCACATGTGGAGGTATCCATATAGGGACTGATCAGGTGAAATGGAAGGAGCCATTGCCATGTTGGCATACAGTTCATAATGCTGAGATACTTGTCATTTTATCAAGACACAGTTACACAGAGCATGCACAAACCTAGTGACATTTACCACTTCCTAGCAATACCTTCCCTTCTCTTCCCTCCCAACCCCCACCTCATTCCACCCTTTCCTACAGTTCAGTGCATCCACACTGGGAAGCAGGAGGTGTTGAATTTTAGTTCAGATACATTATTCAAATGGCATTTTTCTCACTCATGAGAAAATGTGGTGCTCCACAGGGAGGGCTTGTTACTGTAAATAGAGCTAAGTGTAAAAGACTCCTGAGCTATAGAACCACAGGCCCAATTTCCCAGAAGCCAAAACATTAATCCTAAGTGCAGCTGCCCTCGCCACATAGGGCCACCCTCAGATATGCAGCTATTAGCAACAGCAAGAGGCTCTCCAGTTACCCTGCCTGCCAAAGGGATTTAATGCCACTAAAAACTAATCCAACCAAACACTTGTCAAACTGCTCCAAATGGTCTCCACAGATCAGATTCCAACACACCTTTAGCTAACTAATTTATTTCTCTGGTGCTCCCGCACACTCTCCCACTCAGGTTGCTTCCAGGTAGAGGAAAGAGTTTTTGACTATTGGTCAGCTGCTCTGTCCTGCATGACCTCCAACAGTACCCACTCTTCTGATCTCTGCTGGCCAGACAAGCAGACTGATGTCAAACTAACATAATGCCAAACTCTCAGACTTGGAAAGACCTCTTTCTTTTGAGGGATTCCCTGTACCCTTCCTGTGTTGGTGCACTATAAACTAGAAGCACCTTCAAGAATTGTTCCAGAGAGTTTACTTTGTGCAAGAAAATAGCACTGGCTCACTTTCTGATAGTTTACTTGGAGATAATTCCGAACCAACACAGCAGAAAGGGCACACGGAGAGGAGTGAGCTCAGAGCATCAGATTGTCTATCTTTCGATTTAAAAAGCACTAGCCACTGCAATGATCACAACTTGGTCATTATGGGTTGAGGTTGCCAAAAACTGGCAGGTCAGAGTTTTTCTTTTCCAGGCCCCAGTGATGGTCCCCTGACAGAATGTAGTATTCCTGCTTGGACTAAAAGAAAAACAAACACAAAACCAAAACCAAATCTCGTGAATGGTTGGCAGCTGTGTCTTGCTCCACTCATCATCCCATTTCTAGTGATGCTCCAGAGAACAGGAAAAAATGGGAAGGGTTTTCCCTCCATTTTAGCATCCTGAACCCAGTTTGCTGCAATCTTGGCACCAGAATGAATTTCATCTTTCTTTTTTTTTTAGTTCTTTGAACCAAACTAAATGGTGTATTCCAAAATAGATACTCTAGAGTTTTACACTGCATTATTAGCCTTTAGGTAAGCTGCACAAATTTATTAAGTTTTGGTGGGTAAAATCCTTGCACTGAAAACCCTTGCACTGAGGTCTACCTGCAAATTAAGTGCAGGTTGTGGATTTGCCATGAAGTGAGGGGCATTTCACTCCTACAAAAGTATCCTAGTTCTGTCCTTGCTGCAACCATTTTCTGTTGACATTTGTACTGAAGACAGCAGCAAAGGATCAAATGTTACAGACAGCTTTGGAAAACATAAGACCCCCTTCACTTCTCATATTTTACACACTTCCAACACTCTCTTCCAGAAGTGAATATGCCCGGACTGTGTGGGCTGGAGATAAATACAGCTTCAGGACAAGTGTGTCATCCCACTCAATAAAGTCTAAATTACAGCTACCACACAAGGACTGGTATTCACCACCACCACCCCTGCTGAGTGACAGATTTACCTCTAGTTCTCAAATCGTCATATGCTAAGCAAGTAAATTAGAGTCATTGCAAGGCTGCAGGATGAAACACACATTTCTATCTTAATATTATTGGAACCCTATGTAGGCTAAAGGATAGATGTGAATCTAAGAGCAGGAGTGACCGTTACAATATTTTAGCAGGGCCCACCTCAGGTTCTTCACTAGTACAAACCCAGCTTTAGCCAGTTTTCCCATGCACATGTACATACCATCAAGACAAACACTGGTTCAGCAGGCAGGTGACATATGCATAGGTATCTGCCTATAATATACTGTAAACATTTTTATTAAAGAAAAACTGGAGGTTTTAAAAGCAGCTGCAGAATTGCCTTTGGGATTTGGTGAGGTTGGGAGGAGATATGTTAGCAGTAACAGTTGCGGTGCATTCTGGAACTGTTGCTTAATGTATCTATCAATCATGATCTGATTTAGGAGGAAGGAGCCAACCTGGGCAGATGAGCTAAGAAGAGTTTACTTTTCTCAGCGGTGGACACCTGGGTTGTCTGAGCACACAAATGTAGGCTAGATATGTGCTGTAGTAGTCAACGCATATTCTATCTCCCTCTTCAGCAAGTCACTCTGGACCTGGCAGTCTCATCTGGCCAAGAACAGGGTGATCTGAGAGTGAAGCATTTCATTTGGGTAGCCTCATCATAGCCTGGTGAGGTCTGGACTTATAGTGGTCATTCCCTTGCAGAGGAGTGGACCTATTCAGATGGCCCACCCCTAGACCTTGATGGATCCTGATAGATTCCTGGGGGATTCTGGCATAGTTGACAGTTGTGCTTGAACCCTTCCCTGCTCTGTGAGAACTGCCAATGGCAATCAATTTCTAAGTATCATTTCCCAATGATTATACCCAGCTCCATTTTTTCCTTACATAGCTTAGGTAGTAAATTATCTGTCTAATATTTTTTACTGCACTCGTCAAACAAAAAAATTGGTCCAAGAGCAGCTTCTATGCCATCAGTAAAATAAGGCAATCTCTGCCCAAGCAGGTGAAATGGGACCACTTCCCCCTAGTATCGCCCTCAGTTCAACTGGTTGGAATAGTTGTTGGTGGCTACTGCTGAGGGAGAGAGAGGGAGAGCCTCCATGGAAGTAGATGTGCTACATCTGCATCTAGAATCAGGAATGAACTAAATGAGGGCCAGTAAACTGGAGTTCAATCCAAGGAAGTCTGGAAGAAGGAGAGCAACAAATAAGAAGAGTGAAGGGTCAGCATAAATGGTCCTCATCTCAGAATTCCTTCCTGTCTGGATTTTTACAACTGATCCCATTGAGGCAGCTCTATTGAGATATGAGGTCCAGAGAGGTCTGCTGCTTCAGAAATACCTGAGGGCTGCCAGGAGATCATATGCCTTATTTCTCTTACAGGTTGCAAAACTCAGTTTTGGCTTGAATATGAATATTAACTGCAGGATGTTTTCCTCACTCAGGGACTGGATCTTTATGTGATTGTCATCACAGAACAGTTCTGGGTTCTGCATGTTGCTTCTGCAGAATTAACAAAATGGCCAATTTGATCCTTTAACTGAAGACTGTGTGTTAATTAACAATGGGAAGGAATGTCTAAGTAATATACCAGAAAAACACTGTTATTTATATGAAACTTTTCACATTAGCTGATAAATGAGATTTGGGCTAGTTTGCCATATAAGTTATTGATAGTGAATATTTTCAGTAATGGTGTTTTTCATTTCTCTGATCTGATAGTTGGGATTTGAGATTAGCTTGGTTTTAGTTGCAATTATGTGTTGTATTAATTGCATATTTAGTTTAGAAAATATTTAAATATTTACATTTATAGTAAATCAGAGGTAGATAAACTTTATGAGCTTGTGGACAGTTTTGGCATTTGAGAGATTCACGGACACCCACTCAAAATGCCCTGGATGCATGGCTAGTCACAGAGAACAAGTAACTTGCTTCAAAGACTTTGGGTTTTTTCTACATGAAGAGCATATCCTGAGGCATTACTAAAGCTTTTTCTTCCATTTTCATTGCCAGAGGAAGAGCAATAAAGGTCTCAAGTTTTCTCCTCCTGCCCTCACCCCATGTTTAATTTCTCCAACTTCTTATATATTTTACTAAACTAGCACAAGGTGGCACTGTGGTTTAACTCAACTCTGAAGAATAACAGCCATTTTCTAGTGTTCCCTAGCACCACAGAAGATAATACTGCACTTTCCTCACTCTAAAAAATGCTGTGAGCATGGCTGGGAAACCCAGGCAAAGCCCTAGAGGACTGCAGTGCCATGATAAGGGTGGGCAAACCTTCATAAGCGAGAGAATACAAGCGCAACACGTGCCTTGTGTACAGAAGCCCTGAGGAGAGGTCTGAGTCCCAACACACTCTGTCCCAACTTCTTTGAACTTAGTTTTCAGTGTCGCAAGAAACCTATTTCACAGAAGGAAGCTATTCTTCTTTCTCCTCATCCCTTTGACAGCCAACTCTTCTCTCCTACTTTCTTCCTCTGGCACACCGGAGCACTTGGTGCCACCCACCAACATGGGGCCCATGAGAAATGCGGGTGGCCACTGCTAGAATCCTGCAGGTTCCCTTGAGGTGCTACCAGAAAGATATTCAGAGAGCGAGTGGCAGAGCACCTCGACATTGATCCAAAATAACAAACTTGTTAGACATGGCTCCACAAAGGCAAAGAGGACAAAGGAATCACAAAGGCTGAGAAAACAGAGAGACAGAGGAGAGCTCAAGTAACTCAGTGCTCTTGCATAAAATTCAGGAAGTATTTTCACAAGAGTTAAAACTTTTTGAAGAACATGCTATTTGGATCTTCCAGGAAAGTGGGTTTAAAAAATTGAAACTTGGGTAATAGATCAAGAAAAAAATGTTAATTTTTTCATTAGTGGATTGCTAGACCCACAACAAGAAGTGGAGCTCAAATAACAACAGTTAAACAACAGTTAGCAGTTATATATGAGGTGATTTCTCTTGCTAAATCCTCAATCCTATGGTCCCTGGTATTCTTATTTTAGGAGGAACAGGAAGTGAAATTGCTTCCATTTTCTTCCCATTCTTGCTGCCAGGCAAAGAATAAACAGAAGACTTCTTGTTTATTGATTAGTGGTAAAAGAATATAACAAGGAAAAACACAGAATTGGGGGGGATTAAAATAATTTACATAGATCTCTTTACAGATGTTGCATATCTAAAGTCATATTATTGTTTTCGCACAGCCTTGCCCAAACTGATGTCCTCCAGATTTTCTGAATTTCAGCTTCCATCAGCCTCAGGCAGCACAGAAAATTGTCAAAGATGCTGGGTGTTTCCACGCAAAACCTGTGAAGGACACTAACTTGGGGAAGACTGCTTTAGAGACATAAACGATACATCTTGGTTTGGTCATAAAATTGTCATTAGACTTAGAATATAAAAATAAACTCAGTTAAATTGTGATTATTGTCTGAATGAATCATACTTTTAACCACAACAATTTTATCAGCAAAACAAGCTACATGTAATACATTTAGGCTCCTATTTTATTACCCAGCAAACAGAATATCATTAGTTCCTGAAACTCCATAATCATCCCAGTAGACAGAGGAAATATGAAAAATAGAAGAAGACTTGTGGATACGATTTTCTGGCCCTTTCCAACTCTACTATGCTATGATTCTATGGTAGGAAGTTTAGAGAAATTCCTAAACCTGTTCCTATTTGCTTAAGGAAATCTGGGTCAAAGGAAAAAATACTGACATTGTATTTAGCTAGAAAAGACTCAACTTAGAAATGGTAAATACCACAATTAATTTTAGGAATTTTAAGCAATCTCAACCTATTATTTGAAAAATGACATTTTATTCCCCTTGTAGATAATTTCAGTTAAGGAACACCTTACTTTTTTGTTTATTCTGAAATGTTGCCTTTAGTGGTGGTTTCAATCCTATGGCTATGCCATAAGAACAAGTCCACTGTGTTTTTCCGAGGTCATGAGAGTTTAATTCTAGTGGCAACAGTTGAAAGGTTTTATTTAGGCTGTATTCCCTAGAGATGAAGTCTAATTGAGAACTTTACTAAAAGCAGGGCAGTGAGTTCTTTAGACTTAAGCCATTATGTTTTTAATTTTTTTAAAGGAACACACATGGGATAACTCATACATTGTTCTGACACATCTGGACGCAGGGGCAGATAATCCACAGTGATTAGAACTGCAGTCATTGCCCATTATAGCATATACCTTGTAGTTAGCACAATCCCAGAGATACAGGACTGTACAACAAAACCCTGAACTGTCAAGAATGTTTATTTTCTTCCATATACTCACATGTTGGGAAACTGAGCATGCCTTTGAACATGCCTAAATGTGTATCAACAAAGAAATAGATAAATAATGTTAAGAAAGAATGGAATAAATAATTATCCTGGGATTCATACAGAGGGGATTAAAAGTTAAAACTATGTTGTACATCTGGTATCACTGACTTGGCCAGCATTCACTTCACCAATGTTATCTGAGATTAAATATAGTTCTATCTCAGGGCCCAACATTAATCAAAATTATTTCCTTTAATTTATCCCATCCAAAGGAACTAATTATAAATTTAAAGCAGCTACTTACTCAATTAGATACTTGGAGGTTAAATTGTCATCTGACACTGATAGGTTAGCATAATTAAATAACAGTCCCCTTGCCCATATTTGCAAGAGATTAGAAACTTGAAATTGATGTGTTCATAGCTTGCTCAAACAGCCGCTATTAACATAGCAATTCTTCTAAACTCTTGTTTGTCTCTTCTTGGAGTTACCTATTACTGGATTACAGGGAAGTAAAGGGACAGCAGAACAACAGAAACTATTTTACATGGAAAACTGAAGCATGTATGATACATGCAAACCTTTACCTGGGTAGACTCATCTCTACCTCAGTAGTGTATTATGTGGAAACACAATGGGCAGGGCAGACTATTTGAAGCTGGCTCCTGATGCTACTTGAATGCATCACCTGAAGCTGATGATGCATTAATTAGAACAAATATACATTAAACTCCACTAAACACATTATTGTAGGTAGCAGCTAAAGATTGAGGATTATGATTTGAAGCAAAAAATGATGCCTTTGCAGATTTTATGGATGTGTGTTAGGTTTTCAAGAAGTTTCTCTATTTGCATCTATTGTTAGACACCAGAAAGTCAGCATTTCAGAATGAGCTTTAGCCTTTCAGGCAGGAGGAAGAAAGAAATAAGGTTGATAAAACTGATACTCAGATTGGAAATGTGCAGATACAATATAGGCAATAAATATAAAAGAGAGCAGCAAGATGGGATCCGGATCTACCATTGCTTCAATATGTTCAGCTGTAAAATTTTCTAGAATTTTCTAGTTGTTAGCCCAAACAAGTTCCATTAGGCAATTATCCCAGATAGAACTGCTATTAACAACTTAGGATATATTAGTAATAATCATTCTATTATATCATGATAAATAGTATAAGGTACTGCTGGAGGAGCAAGTGATCTCCATGTATTTTTGAACAGGAGCTATAAATTTAATACTGACAGGAATTTGAATTATCCTTGTGGAAAACTCATATGGTTTGAAATAGTAATCATTTGATGAATGTGTGTCTTTTTCAAAATAACATTGAGTCATATGTATAAGCATGGAATGGCATTTGTTTAGTTCTGTTGGAAGACTCCTAGACTGCTGAACTCAAACTTGTAAATGAATCCACAAAAACTTATTGGCCTTCCTGCCCTCAAGAATCTGTTCTAGTTATTTGAAGCCTAAAGGGGAAGAGGAAGATAGAAAAACACAATGCTATAAAACCACAGCTTTCTTGCCCAGTTGCCTGAAGGTTAATTGCTTCTCATTGGCAACCAGATGAGCAGCTATTTTACAAACCTTTGTAGAATTAATCTGCACCAATAAGTTACAAGGGTGCAGTGCATCCTAACACAGGTGAGGTGCTTTGGTTACAAAGGTCTCAAAATTCATATCTCAAGGCCTTACACTTTCTTTTAAAAATAAAGTATTAAGCTACAAGGCCAAGATGCACAAATCTCTTTATGGTATCAGACCAAGAAAACTAATGACAGCCACTTTGACACTGCCAAGTGTTTACTGGTAGGCCCACATTTAGAGGCAGGTTTTCTGTGCCTTCTTAAAGGAGAAAATGAGCTCAAGAAAAGAGATGGGGAACTAGATCAAGGGAGAACATTAAGTAAATTTTCATTACCAATACTTTAGTCTCAACTACATTTCTTAGGGAGGTTGTACAAAGGGTGGTGGTGCTTTTTCTCAAATCTTTTGATAAAGCAGTGATGAACCCTCACACAGGAAGCCTCACTAGAGTGTGGCTTCCACAAAGTATTTCCCTAGAATCAGGGAATCAAATGCCTGTATTTTTCCATTCAACTGCAATAGCTGGAAACACAGGCTCTTCTGTAGCAGAAGCATTTAGATTTTGTAGCTGTGCAGATTTTTAGAAATCCAAGCACTCCCCACTCAAGCCAATTATAATAAAT